TGTGACCACTATGACCGCATATTCTGCATGTGAATATATTTTTTTGTCGTGATATTTTTACACTCAATTTATTTTTGTATTTTGTGATATTAGCAGTAACTTTGCCAATCAGTGCATTACGTGACTTGACCTATTTACGTGTCAGCTGTTAAGAAGGTTACGAATAGGTATGTGTGTTTCGTCAGTTGACGCTTGCTATAACGAAAGGCTATAAGATGACGCGGCTACAAAACTGTTAACTGTTTCCCAATCATGACGGCTCGTTAACTGAGGTACCTTTTGTGTATACTTTTTACATCTCCTACGTTGTGGTGTTATCACGTGATGCACTAGTTCCTCCAGATGTTACCTTTCAAATATTCCGGACTACTGATCAGACAGAGTGTATAAGACAGAGTAATCTGTAACATTTTTTCTCCTGTAATTAACCACAAGAAAATTTACTACGTTAGCGCNACCTATTTTAAGTTTTTTTAAGGCGCAATTAAAGTATTTCCTTAAATGCAGAGCTGTGATTTAAAAATAAAAAAATAAAACTGACTGATTATAATAACGTTTTCTTTATTTTTCTCTCAAAATATGATTCTTATAAGGAAGTTTCGGTTTCGGTTTCAGTTTCGGTCGTAAAAACCAGTTTCGGTCGGACACTAGTGACATATCTCTAGCATGCCAAACGAATATCATCATTATCGTCATAATCATCATAGGGTCCCCAGTCCTAAGAATTGTTGGACACGCACCTCCACTCTTTCATATCTTGAGCTACTTTTCGCATTTCTCCAAAACTAGAACATTCCAGTTCCTTAGCCATTGATGAATAATAATCTAATCTAAGTTCAGCAAGAAAACGAATATAAGGTACTGTACTGTTCTTGCTTGCAACTAGCCATTGTTGTAGCTTGAAGAATTCAATTGATACGGTACTTAGATAACCGGGCTACCACCCCACTTTTCTTTTGAACCCCTCCGTTTCTATCGCATTGTCGTCTCGTAAATTGCTCAGACGAAGTTGGACCATAAAAATGAAAACTTTCCTGTAACCAATTTGAAAGTCGATTCTTATTTATCTGGCCAGGAAGTTTAAACTTCCTCGCGATTTGAGCCAAGAAGAAGTCGGTGTCGACACAGCGACGAAGAATGGCCCTACCATTTCGTGGCGTTCTTTTGAACACAAACCGAATTAAACCTAATGCAAAAGTTTCCAGTTGGAATTTTAATAGCGACGGTTTTGCAAGAATTTACATTGTGCGCCACTGTTTTTTTTTCGCGACAAAATCAATGGTGAAATTCCGAAACAGCGCATTTCCATTTACACTCTTTGTTCACGAAAAATATTCTGGCAAAATGAAAATTTACGAATACTAACAAAAAAATTTGAATTTATAAAACTTCCTGAAAACTTTCTGGTCCTTTAAAAGCAAAAAGTACCTTTGGTTCTGTTAAAGCGGTTTAACAGAAGCAGCGTCTTGACACCAGCGATGATTTGTTAAGATGATTACCAATGTTTCATCTCCAGTTGCACAAGGCATCTTATAAATCGGAAATAGGTTTTATTAATTTTTTTTATTAAATGACCTATATATTTGAAGTTAAAATATCAGCAGTGTCTTTGGTTTTGGTCGCAGAGGCAGGGGCGTCATTACGTGTATGGTAGCCACGGTAGAATCCAGGGCTCCATGTGACCTTGTATTGGATTTTCATACCTCAGGATACATAGTTATTTTCCCATACGTATGTCGATACACCGAAGCAGATACAATCTCATAAGTCTAAGCCCTCAATCACCCGATAATCCCATACATTAGAATTATTTTAATTTGATAAACGGAAGATATAGTAAACTCAAGCCATTAACCCTGTACTTTAGAAAAAAACTGACGAGAGGATAAACAATTTATGTACTTTAAATCCAGATATAATTGAGATTGTGAACCTTAATAATAAATAACTTTATTGAACAGAATGTGCTCTTCATCATCATCATAAGGTCGTCTGTCCTAAGATAGGTTGGACACGTACCTCCACTCTTTCCTATCCTGAGCTAAACTTCGAATTTCCCTAAAACTAGAACAGCCCACATCCTTAATTATTTGCGAACAGTAATCTAATCTAGGTCTACCTCTACCCCTCCTAACTCCTATTTCTGCCTCTAATATGTCTCTGACTAGACCTTCATGCCTGAGAAGGTGTCCTACCAACCTATCTCGCCTATTTTTTATTGACTTCCATAGAGTCCTCTGTTCTCCTATTCTTTCTAATACCTCTTCATTTCTAACCTTCTCTATCCACGGTATCCTCATTACTTCATTGAAGGCGACTCGACCCTGCGCTATCATCTGCTTTATATCCCTATTACTCCTTCAGTCCTGACTTATCTGACTTCCTAGATATCTAAAATTAGCCACTTACTCTAATCTTTCGTCTCCTATCTTTATATTCACTCTTTCCCTACTTTTTCTTCCCTTGCATACCAATATTTTAGTTTTACTTTTATTTATTTTCATACAGTACTTAATTTATTACTGTTCATAAATAGTTGGATTGGCTCAGGATAGGAACGGGTGTGGAAGTCCATCTCCTGCAATCGGTGTTTCGACTGACGACCTTATGATGATGAATACTCTATTTGCATGTGTATAAACCTGCTTTTTTTACAAAAATCTTCGGAACATCAGGTTTGAGATCTTGGCTGTACAGACCGCTGGATTATTAGAAAGTTTGTTTGCTGACATGGAGGGTATGTTCCTTATGTTCCATAATTTTTTTTAATACCAAAGATAAAGAAAAGGTAATAACGTTCCTGGCAGAATAGCTTATAGTACATTATTTTGTAAACATTTTGGAAAACAAATGAATTCAATTTTTACTAGTTCAAAATTCCACTTTAGATACTAATCTTTCCTTATAAATAATATGCTTAGAAGATCTAAATAATCCAGTATATAATTATTATAAAACCCTGAAAGGAAGTCCGTTATCAAGAGTAACATAAAGGCAATTGCGGTACCAAAAAAAGTATTGCTCTGCTTAATTAGCAAGCATAAGGAATCTGTGAGAGTAAAATTTCATCAAGGGAAGGTCCTTTCTTTCACATTACTTCCTCGGAGCAGAGAATTCATTCTAGTGCTATTTATATTTGTAAGTTAAAAAGGCTAGCCACAGAGACCGTGGTTGAAACACTTCAAGGAACAACTTATTTGCTAGATGATTACATAAACCAGGAAACAAGGGAACAAAACGACATCTTAGAGGACAAAGCGGAATTTGTTTGCATTTTACTTAATAGATGCAAAAGTTTCGCCTTCGAAATGGCATTCGGGTTTCGGTTGTGCATTGTTGGTTAATTAACTGTCCGCAGCCGGGGACATTTTCGAACAATGGCGCGGTGAATTTGACAATGACAAGACAATAAGAGCTGAATTATTAGTAAAACAACAAAGGTCCCCAGCTAACACTTCGACTACATGAAGCGAATAATTAATTGAACGTAGGTATCTGGTGACGTTCGACGACTTCATACCGACCGAACGACGCGATGCGTCGCGACGATGACAGAGATAAATTTTCACCATTGCCATTCCAATTTATGCACGATGTTGGCTATGTACAAATTAAACGGTAACTAAACACTCCACAGCTACCGTTTCGATTCACAAAATGCAAACATTGTCAATTTAGCATCTCTCAGTAATAAAGGAAATGTGAACAGGGATTTGGACTTGGTAATACTAATTCAGAGCGAGATAAAGATGGATTATTATTTTACAACCTGTGATTTTATCACAGTGACAGAAGCGTCACTGTTATGCCCAGTTCTTCGTATAGCGTTCCGAATTCCGGAGTAGGAGTAGATAACGGAGGATGAAATCCTTACTGACTGTGTCACTACCTAAGTTCTTTTATACGCTTAGTTATGTGCGAATTTTGAATTTGTGCTGGTTACGTATATTCGATTTTCGATTTTTTTGTGGCGTTATGTTGGTATTCATGTCTCTCACTTATACCGGCAAGTTCGGCCATGTTGAATGTTCAGTTAATTTTTGACAAGTGCTTTGCTTGCACTTGTTTTGACTCGTTTTCAATTTTTGCCTATTCCAAAAGATGGATCAAAGAATCTGTATCAAATTTTATGTGAAAAGAAATTAAGTGCGCGGACGCATTCCGAATGTTGACTGTGGTATCCGGTGGAGCTACTTTGGACTGAAACAACGTTTATCGGTGGTACAAAATGTTCTCAAAAGGCCGAGAAGATGTGAATGAATGCCGGACGTCCGAGCACATCAACAACAGACGAAAACATTGATGAAGTAAGGAAAATAGTACTGGTCAATCATCGAATCACCGTTAGAGAAGTTTCTGAGGACCTAAACATATCGATTGGCTCCTGCCATTCAGTTTTTACCAATGATGTTTTTCGACTAAAAACAGCATCGCATTAACATTGATAAGGAGTTGTTAGACACTGTTCGCGATGACCCAAATTTGCTCCAGAGGGTCATACCTGGTGACAAATCATGGGTTTATGGTTAAACCGTGGAAACCAAGGCTTAATGATTCCAAAGAAAGCTGCCGCACGAGCCAAGACCGAAGGAAGCGCGCCAAGTTAGATTGAATGTGATGGTATTGCTTACAGTTTTCTTCGATTGCAGGGGCGTGGTGCCAATCAAATGTAGAATATATGGTGGGGATTACATTGACGGGGACAAAACCGATATTCATTAATTAATAAGTAATTTTAGAAAAGAAAAACAAAATTAGCGACACCTCGTACATATAAAGAAAAGATATGTTAAGGAGAATTTCTTCTCTTAACTTGGTCTAGCCTGAGAACTTCCAATACCAAACATTAAATGTTAACTGCAGAAATAATAACTAAAGAAATATACTAAGGATTGAAATTCATATTACATCCATTATTGAAAGTTATTGGATTGATATAGTTTAGTCTGAGAAATCAAAACATTCCTTTTCTTGCATTAAAATCTAAAGAGCCAACTTACCGTAAACAGCAGTAGCTCCAAACCCACAAACGGGCCTGAAACAAAAGAAACCATTTAGCTACTGTATAATGCTGAAAAACAGGCACACTTTGAATATAATAGTAGTAACTGATGGTTTTAGAATAATATATGGATACTTAACTATTACGTGTCAAATCAAGAGTTTACATTGTTCCTTACCAAATAAACAATTAGTTCAAGCTTTTACTTTTCACAAAATTTCAAATGCAAAATGGCAGGTTTTGATTTTTTGATGGAAAAAAAAAATGCCTAAAAGGAAACATTTCATTCCCACTGGTTGACACGGATGGGAGGGGTGTCTTGGTAAGCTATACTGTAGTGTAGTGATGCGCAAAATTGGTCTTGGGTCTTGTAGTCTTGGTCTTCCATTTTCGCGAAACCAAGACTGCTTATTCACTAGCAGCACCAAAACCAATACGCAACGAACAAGACCAAGATTAAAACCGTGACTGAATATGCGAGACCAAGACTAAACACGCAGGACTATCCGAAAAAATATTCCTTTGTTGGAACAAAGTATTTTTTGTATTTAAATGTCTGCTTTAGTGTGTTTTAACACTAAATATAAAAAAAGAAACTATTTGGAAAAAATATCAAGTACCTTGTACTAATTTTCTTTTATGCATTGGAGCAAGGGTCAGTTTATACATTGAAGTTTTCCAGTTTTCATAAAAAAAAGAAAAATTTATGCTTAAAAGAACTATTAAACATATGTATCATTAAATGAGCAAGACCAACACTTAACTTAACAGGCAAGACCAAAATCAAGACCTGGTATTGCTAGTGTACTGAAAATTGACTGGCAGCGTGGAAAGCCCTTTCAAGTAACTTTTTTCTTTCTTTTGCTCATATATTTGCATATGCCTGTAATGCACTTATTTAATTTATTTAGTCTAAACATTATCTGTGGTACTAAATTGTTTATGTTTATCTTAGATGTTTGATAATCGGCACTGTTTACATTTTCTGTCGAGTAGCTGCAGGGTTTTTATTGAAGTTCACTATTCGGAGATAGATACGTTGCCAATTTACGAACATGACCGGCTTAAGATAGTAAATTATTGCTATTGCCTTATAAATTTTAATTACCTTTAACGACGCTACTGAACTTACCATGCGATTGTTTATTGCATATAGTTTACATCCTTCAAAGCTCCAGACTAATTTCTGTTACATCCTGTGTATTATAATATTGTTTATGTAAACGTTCTTCTTTTATAAACAAACCAAAGAGAATATCGTTAATAATTATTACTTGACGTTAACGCCTCGTACCATTGTAGCGATAAAACATTAAAACAGATTTTTCATGGTAAACAACGCGTTGAAGTTTGGTTTATTTTTACGAGAACAATATGCATACATCCTAGAAAAGATAAAAGGCGCATAAATCTTTCGGATGAAGCTCCGTTAGTCCAGCTTTTAAATCTTCTCGAACAGAATCTCCGGTTAAACGGTTCCAGTGGAGCTTCGGCCGCTTTCTCAAAGAACAATGGCTTCATTTAAGGTCACAGATAATGCGAGAAAATCCACCATCTCGATGAATGATAAAAACCAGGAAGCCAAAAAGATTTATGATTGCTCTGCACTCTTTCGACGACGATACGAAAGAAAAAATGCTCGGAGAATAATAAGAATAGAGGACTTTGTTTTGTTGACGACACACGATAAGAGTATTAGTATACAAAAGGAGGTTTCGCGCTCATTTCCCTTCCAGAAATTTTCAACGCTCCAGTTGAAAAGTTTGTAGGCGTCTATCAGAAACCGTATGGCATCCAAAGTTTGCCAAATTTTAAGTCCCACTGCTCTCGTCGTGATTTATTAAAGAAGAGAAACTAAACTACTTTATCAGCCATTAGTACGAATGCGTAATCTTATGCGCAGCGTGTAATCCTCTAACTGCGTCATCGGTGGGATTTCCTTAATCTTGAGTGTAAACAATGGAGGAAGATTTAGTAAAAGATTTATCCATCAAGTGTTCAATAATCTCTACTAAAGCTAGACGGCTTAAACTATAGGTATGTAATTGATTAAAATCCTTAAACCTTTTACTTTGGACTGGTTCAGCTCAACAATTATAATTTACAAATAAATTTTTATTAACCGTAGATTTGGTACTAAACTTTTGAAACACCTATTGGTTGTGGGTAGAATTTCAATTTTATTTCTACCACTTGATCATTCATACACCCTTAAATTTTAATTTGCATTTTTAATACAATCCGGGTAATGTTATCAAGAATGTCTCATTTTTTATTTAGTAAAAACGTACACGTCGAATATACACTGTATAATTAAGGGATGAAAATATTTAGAGGACCTTCAAAACTTACCTGTTTCGCCCCCTTCAGATCGACACCAATTGAGGAACCGAAAGTAAACTACTCGCCATTCCACGTCACTGAGGTACTGGTACAGGCATTCCATCGGTCATTAATTACTTCGCAGCACCCGTTGCTAGGTCATATTCGTTTTGCTGTATCAGTTTATAAGCGGGCATCCTTCAGCATGTCGAATACCCACTGTAGAACGTAGGGGTAGTGAAAATATTTAGAGAAACTGCAAAATGTACCTTTTTCACCCCCTTGAGATCCACACCAATTGAGGAACCGAAGGTAAATTTCTGGCCTTTCCACGCCATTGGGATACTGGTACTAGCATTCCATTGGTCATCAACCATTTCAGAGCACCCTTTGCAAGATCATATCCTTTTTGCTGTATCAGTTTATAAGCGAGCATCCTTCAGCATGTCGAATACACACTGTAGAATGTAGGGGTAGTGAGAATATTTAGAGGAGCTTCAAAATTTACCTCTTTCACCCCCTTGAGATCGACACCAATTGAGGAACCAAAGGAAACTCCTGGCCATTCCACGCCACTGAAGAACTGGTACAGGCATTCCATCGGTCATCAAATACTTCGGATTAACCTTTGCAAGGCCATATCGGTTTTGCTGTATCACTTTATTACAGGGCATCCTTCAGACTTCTAGCTTTACCCAGTAAATATACATTTCGCCTCAACTCTGCCTTCGCATAAAGTATGCAGCTTCTATAATTGGTCAGGTAACACATCCGTTCCACGTTTGACTGCTCTGTCCCACAGATTATCTTCAATTGTGTGGTCCCTACGGATACACACTATTGTGCGAGGATACTTACTCCGTCTTAGACTTGAATGGAAGCCGTCACACCCAGAGGGCCGCTGACTTTTAGTTCATGTCGATGTTCCCATGCGAATGTCACTGAAGGTGTGATGAGTCAGCGGCGAGATTACCTTCCGTTTGACGAATTGGCTATGTCGGTTGGGGCAAGCTTCTCCTCTACGTCAGCCAACGTCTGTGCTGGGCTTACAGCACATTTACCTGACAATTGTCGGCCACATCCCTTCGGGGTTTCACGCGGCATCCGAAGGCACACCAGACGAGGGCTTCCGCATCTTCGTCTATGATCGTTAGGTATTTCCCACCTGCACCTGCACTTTACCTCCAGTAGTTCGGGTTCCTTTTATTACAGCATAGCTTCATATATGTATTGGCCTCCCTCCCCAGCGATAAAGTGAGGACCATTCGGTAACGCCACGCCAGTAGATCGGGTTCTGTTTCAAGCTGATGTAATGACTCCTTATTTTCGGCTGAAGGGGACCTGAACCGATAGGTCCTATAATAGCCTGAGGTGGAGGTGTTTTAATCGGTAGGTCCGACGGCATCTTCCTCGGGAATCTGACACACACACGCCTGTGTGTCTTTTGAAGATTTCTCCTCTTCCACTTTCTTATTTCAATTAAATAGTACGAATTGGTCGAGCCAGTTGCCAAATTAATACTTAAATTAATTGTACTGTCTTTTTTAAAGACATAATTTCAATGGAAGTCGCACCCGTTATCCACAAATGTTTTATATTTACGTTTGACTCTGAATTGAATATAAAATTAATTCAATTCGTAATAAGGCGGAGGCACCCTCTATTGTCAAAATTCATAAACAATATGCACGCAATTACATACCTTCAGTTTTTTCTTGTTGTTACTCTTTATTTTCATTGAGTTGCAAATTAATGCCATCTGTATATATGCACATAAAGTTTAGAAGGCCTTATGAAATTTTGTTTCTGTTTGCAGGCCCTAAACAATATCTGCCGAGGGTTAGTTTTCATAGTCGTTTCCCTGCGTTCTATTTAAATGTACATGAAAACGTTTCTGTTATCATTTAGGTCTCCGACAGCGTAAAACTATGCGAAACTTGTAATTTGCTTAAACTGTCAACAGTTCTCTCGAGTAGCGCAAAATACTTAGCACTGTTGAAAATTATCGCCCTATAAAATAAATTGCGCGAGAATAATTCGCAGCTTTATAAGATATTTCGGACCGTTGTAACAATGTCACAACGTCTCATCAGTTCATAAACTTTTCGAGACAATGGCTTGCGAAACATTCTAATTTTCATGCAAATTCATGCGGATGTATGCAGAACACAGTGAACACGTTCCCAAACAAAATTTAGCACTTGCATAGTGGCTTGAATGTCTCCACTTACGATTAGATGACTTTTTCATTTTAAAGTGTTACTTATGGTTCTAACCGAGTCGGAAAATGAGGTACACATGAACAGTTTTACTGCTATTGGAATTTAAATTTATTCTGCAAGTTTAACTGAAAAATATCCTTCTTCAGTACGCAATATTACTAAATATACTAAATATACTAAATATACTAAATATACTAAATATACTAATATACTAACACCAGCACAGGCCGCGTCTACGATCATAAGTCACCGTAAAATATTCATAGTTTAGCACCAGCTACTAAATGTAAATGCTGAACGTCAGCAAAACAAGGGAACATGATCGACTTGCTTTACGACATAGTTTATAGCAAGTGTCAATGGATCTGTTAAATGGATGCTCTATACTATACTGTATATGACGTGCTGATGAGATAAAACTACATCACAGATCCACGTCTGATAGACTCCACAGAATGTTAGCCACCACCAACAACTTTTGTTCTTAAA